AAAACTTTTTGTTAGAGCACAAAAGGTGGTTTATTATGCTGATTTTTGAGCTATGAGCAATTTTTGGCAGAACGAACGTTTGTTTTGAATCTTCTTGATTGTGTTACGTTACACCTAATCTTGAAATCTGATTCGTAGTTCAGGAGATCTGCGCCACCAACCTTGATGCATAGTTCTATAAATATAAACTCATCTTATTGGTTTATAATCATGACATAAATTAACAACACTGAACAATAACGATACAAAACTTTTTGTATAATTATTTTTATATATCCAATTCCGCAAATCCGCGAAAATAAGAATATTAAATTTACTTTTTTGTATTACTTGCGAAAGTAAATACGTAAACGTAAATTCCTAGAATACTAAAATTAAAGGCACCAGCCACATCATGCAAAGTACATTCTCTGCTCTGAAATAACCTATTTGTTCCGTCGGATTACTATGATCGGGCTACTAAATATCTAAAAAACGGTAACTCGAAAAAAAGTTTATTTTGGTTATTTGGTTATTTTTGGTTATTTGGCAAAATTGATAGGTACGTAGTTTATTTCATTCTATCGAGATGTACGTACGTAAGAATGTTTTTTTTATATCTCATAGAAAGACTTTCATATGATTGGCTGTTTAAATCAATTTAATTTTATATTTTTTATACAGTTTAAAGTAAATTAAAAAAAAAAGTATATAGAAAGTTTTATTAGAGTCGTAGGACTCTGCTATTAAAATTAATCAAAATCTCCTTTTAGTTTAGAGAAGTTAGCATGATAATAACCTATTTTTCAGAAGTCGTTATTAAAAGTACTTTAAACTGTATAAATATAAAATTAAATTGACTTAAACAGCCAATCATATTCTATAAGGGTATATCTAGAATGCCGTATGACGTACTTTGCGTATGTACTTCTTAAATAAATTTTTAAGAATAAATCGAAGCATTCGAGTGTTTGAGTAGTTTCTTATATTTTAAAAATTCACTAGTTAAATCAAAGTACTTAAAGTCGTCTTTCATGTTTTAAATTCACTAGACAGATAGATGCATTGAAAATAGCTGCTCGTTTTGTAAATTTCTAAGACTGTAAATAGTAAGAGTTTCAGAATTAACGTGCAGGAATCTAATTTTAACAAAAATAGATAACGTATTTATTTTCAAATGAGCGAAGTATCGACTTTATTTCATTTTTCGATAAACTTGTAATAACGAATTTTGTCGTTAAAAATTTTATTTATTTTGTTAGATGGGATTCTTTAAACACTCCCATATCAATTTTCAAAATTTTTATACATAATAAATTTTTTTAACTCCGAAATATGTTTTAAAAGTCTTTAGATAATCGAGCATGTCCACATTTTAAAATTCTCTAGATAAGGCGAAACAGTTTTTTACGATTAGATAAGTCGAAACAACTTAGTGAAGTTTCTTTTTATATTTTAAAATTCTCTGGATTTTGTAATAAAAGCTTTTACCCTACAATATTGCTTGATCAGTGTGTATATGAAGTAAAGCTTTATTATTAATATTAAGAAAGAGCTTTTGCGTTTTACTAATCCTTTCGATCTATTTATACAAATTAATGACACATCAATCATGCATATCGATCACGATCCGGTAATCCATGACCATACCTCAACCCAGCACTACAGATACAGGGGTGTTGGTTATCGCCATAACAATAAAAATTTTATTTGAACATGAATTAATCCCAATAGTGTCCATGTCCGTATTTTGTATATTAATCAATGTTCAAAAAAATTTTTAAAAAGTATCCTGCCAATATCCTGCAAGGAATAAAGGTCAATTTATGGTCTTCTTTGCCAAAATTTTTCGAAACATTGCCGTATTTTATGTTCAATGACTTTCGATTCGGAATATTTTGGAATAGCAAGCATTCAATTTTGATTTGGAAGTCCAATAAAAAAAATATGGACAAGATGGACATAATTTAAAATGTCCATGTCCATTAATCATATCCATATTTTGCTAACACTGATTTGTATATCAAAAAATCACACGTATAAAATCTACAATAAGCTTTGGAGTACAGTTGCTACTGTATCTCTTGCATATTGATGGCTTTGAAGTGTACGTATGATCTGGATGATTTGCGTGTTACATCGTTAAGATTTTTACTCAAAGACTTCTTTTTGAAACATTTCAAAAGCAATATTTTTTTAAATATATTTTCCTTCACAATCTTTCGATATTACATGGCATTTTAAAAGATATGAATTCATATTTCTGATTTAACAATACATTTTCGAGTCTTTATTAAAATGGTTAAAGCTACCAAAAATTTGAGCAATAATGATATACATATAAATGTACAAGTTTCGACTTCATCACGCAAACCTGCACAATATACAGCAGAAATCCGCCCTTACTACTTATTTAATATTTTCAAATTCACTGTAAGGAATCCCATGGTATTCGAAATATTCGCAATTTATTTTCAACCAAAATATCATTAATAATCGCTAATTAAAATAATGCTTTCTTATCCTAATTATTTTATTAATTTACTATTAAAATATATAAGTAAATATAAGATTTAACTTGAAATAATTAACCTTACCTTAAGTACCAAATGTTCGATTTTTTTAAATCTCTTTCTACCTCGAAAATAATGAGCAACTTGTGACATTCCAATAACATCATTCAAATTGGCAGCTTCATAATAACATTCAAAGATTTTACGTTCATCTTGCTCGACTTCGACTTCGTATTCATAATAAAATGCTGCTTTACAATAATATTCTCCCGCATTATTTTCATCATCTTCTACGATTCCTCTCTCATAATAATAACAAACTTTAAATGTTCCTTTAACATGGCCCATATCTGCAGCTTTTTTAAAATACTTAAAAGCCATGCATTCATCCTTTTCAACTACGATTCCTCTTTCATAATAACTACCAACTTTAAATGTTCCCTCAGCATGATCCATATTAGCAGCTTGTTTGTAAAGTTCAAAGGCCCTTTGTTGATCCTTTTTGACTCCATTTCCTTTTTCATACCAATATGCTGCTTTATAATAATATTCACCCGCTTTATTTTTATCTTTTTCAACTACGATTCCTCTTTTATAACAATTACCAACTTTAAATGTTCCTTCAACATGGTTCATATTGGCAGCTTTCCTGTAAAGTTTAAATGCCCTTTTCTCGTCCTTCGTAACTCCATTTCCTCTTTCATACCAACATGCTGCTTTATAATAATATTTGCCCGCTTTATTTTTATCTTTTTCTACTACGATTCCTCTCTCATAATAATTACAAACTTTAAATGTTCCTTCGGCATGGTCCATATCGGCAGCTTTTTTAAAATACTCAAAAGCCATGCGTTCATCCTTTTCAACTACGATTCCACTCTCATAATAATTACCAGCTTTAAATGTTCCTTCAACATGGTTCATATCTGCAGCTTTCCTGAAAAGTTCAAAAGCCCTTTGCTCGTCTTTTTTGACTCCATTTCCTCTTTCATACAAATATGCCGCCTTACAGTAATATTCCCCAGCATTGTTTTTATCTTTTTCTACTACGATTCCTCTCTCATAATAATTACAAACTTTAAGCGTTCCTTCAACATGGTCCAAATCAGCAGCTTTCCTGTAAAGTTCCAAAGCTTTTTGCTCGTCCTTCGTAACTCCATTTCCTTTCTCATACCAAGATGCTGCTTTATAATAATATTCGCCCGCTTTGTTTTTATCTTTTTTAACTGCGTTTCCTTTTTTTTTCTTTCCTCTCTCATACAAATATGCCGCTTTGCAATAATATTCCCCAGCTTTGTTTTTATCTTTTTCTACTACGATTCCTTTCTCATAATAACTACAAACTTTAAGTGTTCCTTCGGCATGATCCATATCTGCAGCTTTTTTAAAATACTCAAAGGCCATGCGTTTATCCTTTCAACTACGATTCCACTCTCATAATAATAACCAGCTTTAAATGTTCCTTCAACATGGTTCATGTCGGCAGCTTTTTTAAAATACTCAAAAGCCAAGCGGTCATCCTTA